GACTGAGTGACTTCAAGTGGCTGCCACTGTGCTGCTCATTGAGGAAGATATCCACAAGTATAAAGTAGTATCTTTGCATTCAAAGAGGTTGTCTCATTAGAAAACCATATGTGGAAAAGTTAAGTAGCAATACAAGGCAGTCTAAGAGGTAGAGCCCAAGTGTTCTAAGGATATGTACGGAGAGACCTCATTGTAAGGTCAGGAAGACTGTCAGTTTTAGTTGCTTACTAATCAGATTAGGTTATTAAAGTAAATTCTGAAAGTTCTCTTTAAAGTCATCCAGTTGACAAAAAATAAAACAAAACAATACAAATCCCCCCCTACCCTCCAAAAAAACCCACGATCTTTAGCTAGGTTAGCAGGTTAGAAAGTAGAACTAAAGAGCCTGTGATAATAAATTGTGATAAAGTACCAGCAACAATACCAGGTGCCATTCATTAAGCTCTTATTCTGTGCTAGACATTGTGTGCCTAGTGATTTCCATGTATTTATTCAACTTAATCCTCATTACAATCTTACAAGATAGGTACTTTTATTTCATTTTACAGATGAGGACATTGAGATCCAGAATGAATTGATTAGCTTGTCTAAATGGTAAGTGGCAGAGGTGGAATTCACACCAGATTTGCGAATTCCAGAGTCATGATCTAATGACCACAGTATGCTGCCTGGATTCCATCTCATGTGGCCCAGATAGTTGTATCTGGGAGGGAAACTGGACTCTAACTCCTGCAGTGGCTTAGCTGTGTGGGTCTGGAATCACACGGGATAAGAGTGTACAGCTGCTGATACAAATGTATCTTCCACCCTACCACAAGACCTCCAACTTACCTCTTCTGAATATGGGTTTGAAGAAAGGGCTGAGTGATAATTCAGTGACTATAGTATATGCTATACCAAATATGAATCCGGGAGAAATCAAATACCAAGGAATATTTGAATGAGAATGAAAATCTAAGGCCAGAGTGTTTATCAGAGAAGCTGCTGCTTGTTTGGGGAACAGAGGGATGGGAGCATTTTTATACAAAGTTACTAAGAGGCCATGGGGATTTGGGGCTCAGCAGTCACCACTGCTTCTACCAACTTTCTGGGAAAATAATTGCTAATCAGTAAGCTGCCAGCCAATTGTTTAATTTCCCCTTAGACTAATTGGACTCTGATCATAAACACCTCAAACCAGTGCTCTCTGACAAGGATGCCTGGAGCTCAGCTCTGGGATGAAGCGTTGACTCCTCCCAGCCCGTGACAGTTTCGCAAGGTGTGGGTGAGGAAGGCTAGGAGGAGGCAATGCCTTACCATTGATTGGAAGAATCTGTCACTGTCTTCAATTGCTGCCTATACTGTTTTTCTGGGGAGTGGTGGGGCTTTCAGGGGCCTCAAAGAGAGTGGCTGTTATCTTCAGCTCCTGTGTCACCAAACGAACTTCTTGACAAAATATGCTTCTTGGTTTTTAGCAAGCATTCCAAGCATCCAGTATGGAAATAAATATTGATCCAATCAAACAAGAAGATCTGATGGAGGGCTTAATCTATGCCTAGAACTGAGTGGCTTACCTCAAATAACAGAATAATTATAAGCTGTATGACCTTGGGCAAATTACTTAACCTCTCTGATTCTCTGTTTTCTCCTCTGAAGAATAGAGATAATAATATGATTTGCCTATCAGAGCTGCTGATAGGATTAAATAAGACAATTCATGTAATAAATTTAGTACCATTAGTTTTGGAGAGGCCCCCTGAAAAGAAGATCCTTTTTAGTTTTTGAACGAGAAGATCACTGAGCCTCGAAAGCTCTAATCCCATGGTCAATCCTGGGTTTTTTCCCAAAGTTTGTTTTCAGGAGTGGGCACTTAGTTCACATGAAGACATCTCGTGGTGTTATTTAGAAAATGAACTAATTTTCTTCAAGAAGTTTTTAATAATTTTAGGTAATCGTGATGCTCATAGACATGGGTCGTTGGCTTCTGTTTCTTGATTCAGAGTCTAAACATCTGCTCAGTGCCGTGTTATAGGTCAGCTCAGCCCTCAGCTCATTTGTTCAGCTCCATGAACCGACAGACACTACAAGCGTCTGCACCTGCAATGCCACTAGATGCCCCTGCCGTCCACACCTCTCCAAGACACGTAGACACGTGAGCTACACCCTGGGCACTTATCCTGGGCTAAGAGAGTGAGCAGTTTTCAGAAAACTGAGATGGCAGGTCCGGTTAAGACTTCCCTCCCTTTCTCTTGGATTCCTTACAGGTTCTGGTGAGAAAACAGGCAGTTAATATGCAGAGTTCCTGTGCTTAAAACACTGAGAGAGAGAGAGAGAGAGAGAGAGAGAGAGAGAGAGAGAGAGAGAGAGAGAGTGTGTGTGTGTGTGTGTGTGTGTGTGTGTATATATATATATATATGTAAAATTTTTTTCTCTGCACTTTAAAAATACATATAACTGTAACACTCTTCTTTGCTCATAATGAACAAAATGTCCAAAGTAGTGCTTAAAATACATTTTGAACAAACAGAAGCTGCATCTGGAAACATGGTTAGTGGGAAGTACAACTGTTTGGAGGGGTTTATTTTTTTTCTTTTCCTAAGCAAATGCTCTGAAAAGAAGCATTTTATATCAGAACAGCTTTTTCTCGAACCTGTTTTAAAGTTAATTATCAAAAGCTTGCATCTTCTATCTCTTGCCTATGGATCCCTGCTGGGTCTGTTGTTTAGCTTTCCTTGGGAAAGAGTCGCTCTATAGAAGATCATCTACACGGTGTCACAGTCCAGGGACTCTAACCGTCCTAGCTAATCAGCTTAGAACATCAGTACCTCCTTAATGTGGGATTTGGGACCTTCTGGATGCAGGGCGAGAAGCTGAACTAGTCTGCAAGCACATCACTTTATTTCTTTTGCTTTAAGCAAGAATAATTTGCCGTTTTTCTCTCATCTTTCTCCCTTGTTGTTTTGCCCCTGAAAACTGTGCAGCAAAAGCAACCTCCAGGGTGGACACTAAATCTTCTGATGCAGGCAGAGCAGTGATAACATCTGAACTGAGGGTGCTTTTCCAGGGCATGCTTGACAGATGTAGCAGGGCCTTTTAGGATTTAGTGCTGGAGCATATCTATTACCCGCGCTGCAGCACAGCTTGGCAGGAGCTGTGTGGTAATCTCCCATGAATTCTGTCTGACTTATCAGAGCGGCTGAGCAGGTTGCTGCAGGACGCAGAGGCTCTGCAGCCAGTTGGGAAAAGGCAGACCTTCTCTGGAAACTCTTTGAACTCTCTTCTGTGGGTCACGTTTCTGAGGTGGTGTTCTCTCTGCTCTGGAACCTGTCATCACCTGGCCCCCTTTGCTTTTGGAGATATCGTGGCAAATTTGCTTTCACCTTACTGGCTTCTGAGTGTACAGTTTCAAGAGACCAAATTTAATTTCTAATAGGGCCAAAGTGATTGCTTTAATGGAGGGGCAGGCTGCCTAGGTCTTTGACAGGCGGAAGCAAATAGAATGTGTGATAGGAGGTTTTCTTTCCCTCCCTTCCGTCTCCCTTTCCCTCCCTTCTCTTCTTCTCCTCTTCTCCCCTTCCTCCCTTCCTTCCCTCCCTCCCTCCCTCCATCCCTGTCCCTTTCTCCCTTCCTCCTGTCTCTCTTTCTTCTTCCTTTTTTCTTTCTTTCTTCCTCCCTCCTTCTGCCTCTCCTCCCTGCCCTCCTCCTGAGCCCCTCCCCGCTGTGTCTCACCATGTTCTTGTCTTCCTGCCCTGCCTCCCTACCCATTTTCTCCCTCCCTTCCCCTTCTTTCTTTGTCTCTGGCCCTACCAGAGGCCTAACTTCCCTACAGGTACAGCCGAAAAGTCTCTTTCTACCTGGCTCCTGCCCCAGGAGCCTCATTTGGTTCTACCTGAATGTGCTATTGGGCATCATCTTCCTCTGCTCTAACAATTACCTTGGCATTTAAAAAAAATACCAAGATTGATCACAAACACCAAATTGTTTAGATCACAGATTAAAGTTTAATTTTGGAGTTTTGCTGTAGGGTTAGAATTAGCTTCAGCATGAGTATAGCATAGGAGGTGCTGTAATTTGTTTTAAGGATAAGGCCTTCGGGCAGCTGTGCATAAAATGAGCATGATTCCTTATTCCCACGGTTGATTTTTGAATGGGAGTGCAATTAGAATTTTTTCACCCAGAAGCACATACAGTCAGAGCAAAGATAATACCTTGAATGCATATCAGCTTAGGAGACCTCTCCTGGAAATTTATTTATTGTTCACCAAGTCCTAATGTAAAGAGATCCATGTTTTCCATAATAACAATAAACTCACCCTTTAATTTCAAGTCTGGTGTATTTGTAGAGACTCTTGCAGTGTCCATGTTTTTATTAAGTGAGACTACAATGGTGAATTTTAATGTTGCTCAGAGAAATGTGGAACCAGTCACTTTTCTTTACAGAACAGAACCCCTTAGAAACCAAACCCTGGTAAAGCAATGGCCTCTCTTATGTCTGCGGTGGCTGCAGAGGTTCTCCTGCTATGGCAGGGAACCCCACTCCCAAATGGTGTCAAACAGTTACCTTTCATGCAGAGGAATATGAAGGTAATGTTTTTCTGATTAATGATGTTGATCACATTTGTTCTCTACGGCAGAAATGTTAGAATCAATGTCCATGTAATACTTGTCATCTGGCCTCACTGACTGGTCAGTGTGAAAGGGTGGCAACTCCATTGGGTCTGCATTAGAAGTTGGTATAACCTTGCTGAGGAAAATTCTAGCAGAGGCAAATAGTTATCTGGCTATCATCTATTTATTGATTTTCTTTCTTGTTTTTTGAGATAGGGTCTTGCTCTGTTGCTCAGGTTGAGGTGCAGTGGTGTGATCATAGCTTACTGCAACACCAAATATAGGAGTTCAATCAATCCTCCCACCTCAGCCTCCTAAGTAGCTGGGACTACAGGTGCACACCACCATATCAGGCTGATGTTTAAAAAAAATATGTAGAGACAGAGTCTCACTATGTTGCCCAGGATGGTCTTGAACTCCTGGCCTCAAGAGATCCTCTTGCCTTGGCCTCCCAAGATATCAGGATTACAGATGTGAACCACCATGCCCGGGCCTTATTTCTTTTAAAGGTCCGAATCTCAAGAGTCTATATTCTTCAAGGAGGGTTTTTTCCCCCGCTGGAAATCAAGACATTAAAATACGTATATTGATTAGCGTTTCCTAAGCTGAAAGGCGGAATAATATATTTTTTAAATACCCATCTCATTGAGATTTGTTTGAGTAAATGTATAACATCTCTTCTTCCTGTTTTGTTGCCTTAAAATCTTATAGATCATTTGGTTTCTGAAGGAAATTTGAGACTGTCAATCGAACAGTCATTTTTCCCTCCTCCTGGGTCCCCCTACTCCCTACCCAAGCAAATTATTAAGCTGAGTTTCATTTTCTACGAGACAATATACTGAACACAAGTTTTGGTTATGAAAGTATGATACATTTGCATTATGATATTTATGTCAGTAGGGACAAAAAGTACTTCATTTATAGCCATGTCTGGAGAATATAAATCCACAATAAGCTTCCTTTATGGAATATGAATACTTTCAAGGTAAATGGTAACTAACAACATT